AGAGAGAGATGATTTGAAAGCTGAGAAATCCAAAGTGGAGACTAAGCTGGTGAATAAAGAGGTCATCAAATATGAGAATGACCCTCTCCTTGAGAAAGAGGCTGACAGACTTCGAAGGAATGTAAGAGAAGAGATTCAGCAGCGTCGCAGTTTGGAGGAGTGTCTTTTTGACCTCCAGCACCAATACATTCTCCTGGAAAGACAGAAGCCAGAGGAGAAGGTAGTAATGCAAGAAGTAGTTCGTCTTCAGAAAGACCCCACGCTGATCCTGGAGCACGAGAAGTTGAACAAGACCCTGGATGAGGAAATGAAAGGTCGCAGGAAGCTTGAGTTAGAGGTCAGACAGCTCAGAGCCATGATTACGGAGAAACAGAATATCCTGGCCCAGATGGATGATCGTCAGAAGAAGATCCAAGTAGAGTCAGAGCTAAGGCAGATCAAAGCTCGCATTCTTGAACTGGAAAGTTCTCCACCACGCTTTGAGGAAAAGGTTGTTGTCGAGGAGGTCCTGAAAGTGGAGAGGGATCCAAAGCTGGAAAAACTAATGGAGAGTATTCAGGCTGACTTGAACACTGAGAGTACAAATATCAGTCGACTAGATAGAGAAATCCGCAACTTGAAGCTCAAACTGGAAATTGTGCAAAAGGAGAAGTCGATTGAGAAGGTTGTTCACAGAGAAGTGGTTCGTGTAGAGAAGGATCCAGCAGTGGAGGCTGAGAGGGAACACCTGCGAGAGCTATTGGCACAGGAGAGAAACCTCCGGCGGGACCTGGAAGATAACATTCACAACATCAACATCAAAATTGTCCATCTGCAGACATCGAAGACTGCGACCTCACAAGAGGGGAGGGCTCTCATCATGAGCAGAGATGCTCTGCAGAGGGAGAAGGAGGATTTCCTCAGACAACTTAAAACACTCGAGTCTCAAAGACAGACCATCAGCGTCACCTTCCAGCAGCAGTCCAAGCTGATGAGTGAACGAAACCAGATGGCTCGGCAAAGGAGCCTGAGGACCTCCTCTGAAATAGAACGGCTGGAGAGGGAGATCCTGAATGAAAAAGACAAAATACACCAGAGAGAGGCACTCCTTATCGAGCTACAAAATAACATTACAAAAGAGGACCATGCAGAAACTCACACCAGAGAAACAAATCTTTCCACAAAGATCACCATTATGGATCCAGAAACCGGTAAAGACCTGTCTCCATATGATGCCTACTTACAGGGGCTAATTGATCGCAACCACTATATTCGCCTGTCGGAGTTAGAGTGCGACTGGGAGGAGATCACTTCAACTGGCCCAGAGGGGGACATAACAATCCTGCAGGATCGCAAGAGTGGACAGCAGTACTCTGTAAGGGATGCTCTGAAGAGTGGTCGCTTGACCCA